GTGACAGGATCGAGAGGTGAGCGAACGCCGGTATGTGTTCGCTCACCTCTCGATCTACTGAGCCGACCTGTGACAGTCTCATTGTCACGGGTCGGCTAGAACTATGAGGTGAGTGAAAAGCACTCACCTCATAGTTCTCCTTTAAGTATATTTCAGATATATTTATTTACATAAGAAGGTTAATGTTGCTGTTAGAAAAGCTACTAGTTTAGCACTTCACTCACCAACACATTTGTGTGAATGCAAGATAGGTATCAGTATTCCTTGGCACATTGCTCTATATTCAGAACCGTTCTGCTACTTTACATTCATGCTGAGTGTAGTCAAACACAAGCCGAATTCAGTAGCTTGAAGTTCTTTCTGTGATCACTGTGAAAGCAGATTGCTGATTCACAGTCCTTTGCCATGCCAGATGTACTTACAGAATTAGTTAATATGTCTATGAGACTCCATTGGCCAGAGATGACTGCATTTGCTGTCTAAGCCCTCGTTCACACCTGACCGTTTTGTAGCGCGTTCTACGCTTGACGAACGCTCTACAAAACGGTCAAAAATATAAATCCCATTGTAGTCAATGCCCTCGTTCCCACCTCGGCGTATTTCCGCCCGTCCCTAACGCCCTACAAAACGGCCCACGCCTGAAAAGGTCCCGGGACTACTTTGGGCCGTTTTGTAGGGCGTTTTCCATTGGGATACAGCCAAGTAGCCTTTGGAATCGCGCGACGGTCACGCGACTTTTTTACCGCGAATCGCGGTAAAAAAAAAACACGCGACAGACGCGCTTTTGCAATACGCCTAGGTGTGAACCCAGGCTAAGCAACATAGGCCGCACATTTTAAAAGTCTCTTATGATAAAAAGGTGCACATATTTCCATGCTGTTAGCTGAAAAGGAGTGTAGCAGTGTCATATTTCTGTATATGACAGGTCTAGTCACTGTGAAGTTCCAGGAATAGGCAGGAGTTTGCTTGGCACATAGTTTTCTTGTGTCAACACAAAAGTAAAACAAATTCCAGCTGCTTCTGAACCCAAGAGATAAAAGACCTGCATGCTTTTACTGGAAGCTGTACACTTCTGAGCCCTCAGTAACTTTCCTTTTTATTCCATATACTGTAATAAGGGTAGAGTAATCAATTCATAAAAATAGGTCTCTTTCCGGTTTGACTAAAACTGCACAATGAACTTACTTGTATTATATCAGTTGATGTCTCTGATTATGTAAAAGCCAACTTTCATGAGGACTACTGTTTTAAATCCTGCAAATCTTCTTGTTTACATGCAGGTGGAAGTACAGCTTTTGCTAGGGATGTTCAGATACCAGTTCAGATACTTGGCAGTTTCATGAGAACTACCAGGGTTGCAGCTGGGACTTGCAGGGTTGCAGCGGACCACCACTGTCCTGAAATCATTAGTCTGTATTGTTTTAGAAAAACTGTCACATGACAATAAAAAAAAATTTATCAGTACTTGTATCTGTGAGTACTTGGACAAGTATCAGTACTTGGACTTGAAAAATCGGTATCGTTGCATCCCTAATAAATATATATTTTTTAAATTATACATTAAAACAGATGTTGTACAAATCCCAGGAGCTCTGTTTGCTCCTTAAAAATGACAGCCGCCTCCTAACTTTTTAATTTTTCTCTACTCTTGGAGCTGAAAAAGTATCTGTACTTGTACCAAGTACGGTACTTGGTATCTGAACACCCCTAGCTTCAGCTGTACTTCCATGCCCACATGGATGTAAGTGCTGCAGGTCTCAGTAGACCTTGGTCACATCTCCGCCCCCTCTCCTCCTGGCCTTTCACAAAACACATGATCCAGGCACTGTTTTGGGAAAATGGGAGTATAAGGGAGTATAAGGGAGCTGGCATGTGACTGCAGCATCATTACTCTGGGTAACAATGCTTCAACATGGCTGCCTTCAGAAGGAAGTGTCTTTACAGCAGGATCCACAGGAAAAAAGTGCAGGTAATAAGGGGGAGCAGAACTTTCATATATTAGCAAAACGAACTTGTGAGGGTAACCTTTTCAATTCTAGACTCTTGATTTTGCCTGATGACTCACTTTAAACATTGTGCTTGCACCATTCTCAGCACCTTGTATAACATAACTAAATATATAGTGCATTTATACAGTATTTGATGTTCCTTTCATGTTATAAGCAGTGGCGTAACAACCGGGGGGGCGGG